TAGGCATCTCTCAGTGGAAGAATTAGGACAAATTAAGAACTGTATGGTTCTCCATCACCGCGATCCGGGACTCAGATCAGGTAGCCTGCACGTGCGACGGCCGCAGCTTTTTTTCATTTAACTCCTAAGTGCTTCCACGTTCCTGACAATTTGCGGCCAGTTTAAGACGTCTTGGCTGCCTGCTCCTCCCGCCGGTACGTGTGCGTCCTGACGGCCTGTCGGCTTCTTGACGGGCTTTTGCCCGCAGCATTTTGCCCGCTGTTTGCGTCTGTCAGGATTACGAATGGAGGAACCAGATCTTTTCCGCCATAAAAAGGAAGAATTTTTAAATGATTGTTAATGCAGACGTGCATTACAGCCTCATCGACACCAGGAGCGGTGCAGTTAGAGGACACAGAGATGTGTGCAGATGTGATTTACTGGGCTTTCGTCTGCCCCCAGCCTGTAATAGTCTAAAGATTATATCTTTGCAAGGAAGTCTCTGTTCGTTGATTGTTGACGCATGAAACACCACTGGAAATATTTTGGAGAGACATGACTCCGTACTAACCACTGTTCCTCTGCAAATGTACCCTTCCTTCTCGGAGTCCCTCCTCCTTACGATTTATTAATGACCTGATAGCTTAATGCATAACCTAGTTAACTGGGAGACAGACTCGTCAAATGAGGTTGAGCGGATTTCTGTATTTACGTGATTCTCTTTGGAAAGTGGCACTCCAGCAAACATGATGGTATTGATCTGATTCCCCAAGCTGTGCAGCACTGCCGCCCCCCCCCCCCCCCCCCCACAATGATATCTCCAGACCGCCAGTTTTTAAGGAATTAAAGGTTAATTTCTGAGGTTTTTGACTGAAACCATTAGTTTGTAATGCATCTCTGTGTTTATTAATGGGTCAGAACTTCCACCTCTGATTGTGTCCAGAGATTTTAGGCATGTGTAATTTAAAAAGGCTAACAGCTTCAGAATTGCTGCATTGAGTTTACGTGGCAGCGCCCTAGGAGAGGTGCAGTTATACTGACAGCCTTAAGCAGGAAACGTTAAATGAGTATTGATATCTGAATGACTTTTCCACTGCCAGTGACTGCATCAAGGCCATCTTTTCCTCATCTTTCTTCATTCGTATGTCTGTCTATGTCTGTCTGTGTCCCTGGCCTCCTTCCTGTTATGTAATAACGGGCATCGTGTGAAGCTTATGTTCCTGAAACCTCTGGGCACCTTCAGTGTCTTCCACAATTGTACTGCCTGCCAAGCTGTAGGGGGCCTCGTGGTTAAGGAGCCAATCGGGATTTTTATCTTCATACATCCGTCTACCGGGGTCCTTGGAGCCCATCGCAGGCGGGGGGGACACTTTGGATGGGATGCCGGTCTGTCACAGGACACGCACACTGGGTAGTTTAGACGTCATTGGCCTAACTTCAAGTGTTTGTACTTCTGGAGGAAGTCCATGGGGAAGGATATATAAACTCCACACATGCCCAGAAGAGGGTGTGGGCGGGGTTCAGTCCCACAGCTCTGGAGGTGCCACCATGCCACTCCTAGTCAGTGTTTAGTCCCGACTAAACATTCAGGTTCAATCTCTCTTCAGCTGTTTTGTTGCAATGTTCAGATATCTGCACAGGCAGCACCTGTTTCTGAAGTCTTTCTGCCTCTCCAATATGTGCTTGTGTACTTGCGCCCCCTGCAGGACAAGCCCCCCCTACTGCTGTGCAGACCTGTACTCCCTGCGGACCGGTGAAATGGTCAAATCCATCCAGTTCAAAACGCCTATCTGTGACCTGCAGTGCAACAAAAGGTGCACCCTTTTTCTTAAGCAGATAAGTTATTTTCATAAAGACATATTTTCCAGCTGGTCTTTGTCGCTCTGCTGGAGTGACACAGTATTAAGGTGTGATTTTATGACGACGATGACGATTTGCTTGAATGACGTATTTTGTCCCACCACTGCAATTCGCAGGATCCTCGTTGTCGTCCTGCAAGAAAAGATCGCCGCCTTCGACAGCTGCACTTTCACTAAAAAATTCTTCGTCACAAGTAAGTCCTGGGGAAGCTCGCCCGTTACACGTTTTAAGGCAGGCGGTCCGTGATTCATGTCCAGTCTCAGCAAAACCCAACAAAATGGTGGCATCACCAGAAGGGGGCCCATCCCTTGCCGTGTCAGTCGCTTCCATGCTGCGGTCGTCAGCCCCGGCAGCTATGCCGTCATCCTAGTACGTGGACGAACCAGATCTCGCAGTGGGGAGCCTTTGTGTTGTGTTTACGAGTTTGTTCATGTGACCACTCTGTAGGGCCGGCTGAAATGGATGCTGTTTATTCGGCTATCTGACCGCCTTGACAGAATCCCGAAGTGAAAAAAATGCAGCACCAGGCCATGTGGAGCTGACTGGGGAACCTCTGTCTTTTCCCGCAGCAGTTTGTCTCTGTAATGTACCTTAAATGCACATTATCGTGTCCGTTTCTGTAACGTCTAATTCAACGGAAATTAGGCCACATGCTAACGTTTAGCACCGCTACACTAAACATAGGTTGTCACCGTGTATCAGGAAACGGCGTTCGGTCTGTTGGCGTTCTCGTACGATTCGGCGCATTGCCGTGTCTGTGCATTTTCACGATAGCAGTGGAACAGCAGCAGATCGACAGGCCGGTGCCAAACGGGCCATTAATCACGCGGCGGCGACTCCGTGCCGTGGCCGGCGCGCGCCGTCTGCTACCGGGGAGCTTTTATGTTTTCTCAGTCTAATGAATCATCGGTGCCAGTGGCCGGCACGGCGCAGGCGTGGGGGGGGTCGCCTTTGCGTTTGTCATCATCAGCAGCGGGGCCTGCGCAGCCCACTTAAGCAAGCTGATTGCAAGCCGTAAATTGCCATTAGTGTTGCTTTAATGCGCCATGGCTGTTAGCCACCCCTCTCCGCCGTCTGTGCCACAGGAAGCGTGACCCGTCCATAACGCGGCACCGTTAATTGCTTTGGGTGGAGCTTCATGTTGTTGCGTTTTTTTTTTTTTTCTTTCCTTCCTGTTCGGGGAAAAAAAGCGAACGTGTTCTTAACTCTCGGAAAGGGAGCGCGGTCTCCTCCTGCCCCCGCTACTCCTCCGCCTTTGGTGGTGGTGGGGGGGGGGGGGGGGAGGGGGGACGAGGGAGGGGGTCATATCCTAAAAAAGCAAGCAAATAAATTTCTTTACAAGGAAGGGGAGGGGAGGGTGCGACATCATCACATCCGGAAGGCAAGGAGGATTTTACAAGGCCTAAAATATTAATGGACAATTACGTGGCTGGGAGAAGCGAAACAAACACGGAGGCC